GCGGGAGCTGCCTGCACCGGGGGCCCAGAGAGGTCTGTTTTTCTGGGCTTGGCTGGATGTGAGCAGCCTCTTTGGGGCAACCGAAGAGCCCCCCTCGTGCCTGCAAAAGACAAGAGTAGGGGGCTTCTTAAGAAGGGGCGGGGGGTCCCTTTTTCCTTCTGCTTCATGCAGTTGGAGGCCTGGAGGGAGCTGTCTCTGTCCCAGGGATCCCCGCCAGCACCTGCTCTCCATGGGGGCGGGGGTGGGGGGGGCGGGGGTCTGAAAATGAAGGCAGGGCTCTTGCAGGAGGCCCCAGAGAGTCTGCGGGGGGGGGGGGGGGGGGGCCCGCCTTTCTTTGAGGCTGCCAAGGGGGGGGGGGGGGGGCTGGGGGGGGGGGGGCTCGCTTTGTAGACAGCTTTGAAGGTTCCCCGTGTGATGGATGGCGGCTGCAGAGCGCCGTGTGGGTGGCCGCCTCCTCTGCTCTCCTCTCCCTTTGCTAGAGAAGAGCACCGTGGGCCTCGCCCCCGCCCCCAACAAAAACCTTCATGTCAGCAGTTAGGGATGTGCTCAGATGCGGGAGGGGGAGGAGGAGGAGGAGGGCGTCTCTGCTGGCCAGCGTTTAATGTTTATACCAGTCAGCACTTTGTAAGGCTGTGATCGCAGGAGGGCAGCCCTTGGTTAGCTTGAGCTCCTCCCCGCCTCCCTAAAACGAAGGCCGCCTCTTCCCAACCCCCAGGCCCTGCAAGGCAGCCTCCTCAGGAGCAGGAGAAGCCGGGCCCCGGGGCCAAAGCAGGCAGCCCACACGCCCTGGCTGGGATCGGGGGGCTGAATTCCCAGGGCTTTGCAAGGGGCCCTTTATCCTGGATCACGGCTCCAATCAAGAGCCACGGAAAGGGGACCTGGACAGTCCGCGCTCGGGGTCAGGCGGGGTCAAGACGGGCAAACAGGCCCAGGAGAAGCGTTGGGAGCCCCTCCCCCTTTCTGGCCTCATGGGGGATGATGGAACTGCCCCCCCCTTTTTTTGCAGGGCAGCAGCCCCTCCCCTCCTGCCAGGGCCGGCATGTGCCAACCCGTTGCACCCCCAGGCGACACCCCCTGCCCCCCCCCCCGCTTTCCCTCTGGCTCCTGAAAGGAAAAAGGAAAAACTTCCCAGGAATTCAGGGAGTAGTTGAGGAAGGGAGTCAGGGGGGGTGGGGGGGGCACAAGTTAGGACTGGCTGGAGGAGCACACAGGCCAGACGCCCCCCCCCCTCTCCTGGGGCTCATTGGGTTTGCAAGGGAGGGCATCTTTTTAGAGCACAGGTCCTGGGGGGGGAGGGGTGCGAGCCAGTGGCCCAGAAGGGGCCACATCACTCGGCTCCTTCTCCGGATGCCTGGCCCTCTTGGATCAACCCCCTCGGTCTCTGCCTTGGACCCTCCTCCCCGGCCTGGCTCTTCTGGACTGGGCCGCCTCCAGGCGGCTGTGGAGCCTGGGACCTGCCCTTCCTGGCAGGTTGAGCCACCCACCCCGCCAACCGGGTCATTTCCCACGAATTGTCCCCAAAGCCTGGCTTGACTGGCAGGAGCCCAGCTCAGCTTATTCCTTCCCGGGCTGGGCCGGGCCAGGGTCCGCTTATCAGCCCGGCCCAGGAGCCCATCGGAGGCCCCGCCAGTCCTGCCCCTGTGAAGAGCCCAGCCGGGCGGAAGCCTCAGCCCTCCAGGCCTGCTCTTCGGGGGTGGAAGCTGCCAGGACAGCTGCAAAGGGGAGCCCCGCAGGGGGGCTGGGAGCCCCTGGCCTCCAGGCTGGAGGGGGGGAGTCTAGAGCCCCCTGCCCTCCTCGGGAGTGCTTCTTTGGAGGCTCTGACCCCACCCCCTCCAGGGCCCTGGCGCCCCCCTGATCCGTTGCTTCTCCAGCCCTACGGAGGCCCTTCAGCTCTGGGGAGAGACCGAGGGGCTTTGGGCGGGTCCCGGGGCTGCCTGCCCAGCCTTGCGGGAACCTGCCCTCGCCTCGGAGGGGGAAAGACCACCCAGCGACTCCCTGGCTGGGCTGCAGAGACCGACTCTGTAATTACCCGGAGAGGCTGAGTGTTTATGGAGATAAGCTGAGAGATAGGAGGCTAAAAATTAATGCCAGCTGGAAATCTCACACTCCGGTTCCTTCTCTTCCCCCCTTTGCCCTCCCCCTGCCCCCCCCCTTCCCAACCTCCTGTTTTTTAAATTATTTATCCAGCCGTCTATTTCTTCAACCTCCCCTCTCCAAGAATGGAGCCAAGGATGCGGGGTGGGGGGGCGAGAAGAGATGTCAGCCCCGAACTTAGAAAGCTGGCAACCTGGCAAATTCTGGGTCAGCCCTTCCCCTCCCCAGCTGGCAAAGGGGCTCGGGTTCTGTGTTATCCCCCCACTCAAGTGGGGCTGAAGTGGCCAGGACTTTTGTGGCACAGCTGGGATGAAGGGGACGGGCACTCAGCATCAGCTTGGGGTCCTGGGCTCTGCCTGCCCTCTGATTGGCCAGCGGGCTAGTGGGCACCGGTTATTGCGCCTGTAAAGAGCTGCAACACCCCCCCCCCAGCCTCTCTGGCGGGAGAGGTGGGCAAACACCTGGGGCCGGGCCAGGGGGGGGGGAAACAGCTGTCCTCCTTAATTCGGGAAAGAGGCAAGGAACAATATGGAGATGGGAGCCAGCTTCTTTGTGTAAGCAAACACTTCCCACACCACCTTAAAAGCTGGTCCTGGAATGCCTGGCGAGTGAGGGGGAGCCCCTTTGCGGGAGGGGGTCATGTGGGGGGAGGGAGGCAGGGAAAGGACTCACCAAGGGTGCTGCTGCACACAGGTTTTATGCCTGGCCTCAATTTGGAAACAATTAAACCAGAGGTTTCCCCTCCAGGTCATGTCGATGGCCAGTCATTAAAACCTGTTCTGTCTCTGTCAATCAGAGCCAGGAAGCCCCCCCCCTCTCCCCTCCCCGGCCCCCCACCCCCCTTGCCTCCAGATGGCAGCCCAGCCCCCTCGTGAGAGATGGGGACCCAGCGGTGGATGTGGCTCCTTCAGCCTGGGGGGAAGCAGCTATCCGGAATTGTTTAGTCAGTAAACCTTGGTTGAGCCAAGGGTGGCTTAGCCACCTGACTAAGCACTGACTAATTTCCTGGACTTGTAGCTTTTGGGGCGGGGGAGTCTCACTGCCTTGGACTTCCCTTTTCTGCAGTCTTTCTGGGACCCCAGGGAGCTCCTCGGGCTGCCTTAGGCCCCACACTGGGCAACCGGATCCCATTCGGGCAGCAAGGAAGACCCCCCCCCCCCCGCAAAACAGGCTGAGCTCAGGGGGGGGGGCACCAGCAGGGCAGGCAGCCACTGCGGGGAGGGGGAGGGGGCGGCCCTCCAGGGCAGGGAAGGGGCCCGCATTCCTTCCCTCTCTCAGCGCTGCAGCCTCCTAATTGGAAGGGTCTGTGGCTGCTCCTCCTCCTCCTCCTCCGAAAAGTTTCTTCGCCATAATCACATTCAGATGAGAAAATTCACCCCGAGTCTGGGAAGCGGGAGAGCTTTGGGCCTACAGCCTTTTCTTCTTCCCCAGGAGGCTTGATCGGGCCAGGGGCTCTCTTGATGGGGCTGGGGGCTGGTAAATTCACACGGGGGGGGGGTTGTGTGCAGGGCCATCTCCAGGTGACTCAGGCTGGCCAGTCCCCAGATGGGACCAGAGCCAAGTGGGGAAATTCGGGGGTGGGGGGTTTCCCTCTCGCCCCTTGCTGGGGAACCTGAGGAACGTCCAGGAGGGATTCACACACACACACACACACACACTGCCATCCAGCCTTTGCCGTGGGCATCCTGTGGGCACTCCACCTGCACCTGGGCTTGGCATGGGAAAAGGGGGGTCTGGGTTGGTTCCCACCTCCTGCACCGCCTCTGCCCTAAAGGCTCATGGGGGCTTTTGTCCCCCAGCATTGGAGCCTCCTGGCTGGGATTTCACTGCAACAGCTGGAGAGCAGTTAGTCCCCTTCCTGAAGAGCGGCCGGAGCGCCATCCAGACGTCCCCCAAATGGACAGCGGGCTCCCGCAGTGGGACAGGAGCGTGGCAGTGGCGGGAGCGGGTGGAGACAGGATGTCGTGGCGGGGTCCTGGTGGTGTGAATTCTCCAGGCTCCCCAAGTGAGGGGCTTCTTGGGGGTTTCTCAGCAAACGGGAAGAAGCAGAGAGCAAGTGCCGCATCTGGAGAAGCCCAAAAGCTGGAGAACGGCGATTTCTTGTCAACAAGCCCTCCCCCCATTGGCTGGAAAGTTTGGTTCTTTGTTTCATCCGTCAGAGGGCTAGCAGGCCCAGCCTTGCTCTGGGCGTCCGCTTTCTGATGGGCTTGCAAAAACTCTGAGGCTCAGGGCTGACCACCATCCTGGCCCAAGGTCTGGGAGGCCGTGGACACCCTCGGGGGGCCACCTGGCCTCGCCCGGCTGGGCCCATGCCAGGCAGGCCCAGTTCAGCCTCTTGCCACGGGTGCTGGAGAGAATGCCCCCCTGCCACTTCTGCCACCCCCCTCCCCGCAGCAGCTGTTCCAGGGGCGCAGCCTCTCTTGCCAGCCCACCTGGGGAGGAAGAGAAGGGGACGCCTCCTTCCTGGCCCTCGTGACCTGCGGCTAAGCCCTTGGCTGGCTGCCTCCCTCCCTGCCACACCCTGCAGCGGGAGCCCTGCTCCTCCTCTCGGGCTCGGCTGGGCTTCCTGGGGCTTGGAAAGGGCAGGGAGGAGGCTGGGAAGAGGAGAGGAAAGGAAGCAGCTCTGCCTCTGCCCACAGCCTCGCCCCCCCCCCCCGGCCAGCACTCGGGCACCAAGAGGCTGTTGGGGGGGACATGGGGGGGCTGTCCCTTCAAAAGCATACCAAAAGGGGAAGGGGGCACAGCCGATCAGCCTTGCAAGGGTCACTCAGTATAGCTAATCAACAACATATCAATAAAAATGTATTAACTTTATGTGCCACCTGATTCCCAGCAACCACTTTTAACTTCCCTGTGGCCTCGACTTCCCAGGCTGTCTCTAGGGCTGGCATGCCTGATGGTGCTGCCCCTCGTGCCCCCCTTCTTAGACTGGAGAGTGAATGGGGGGGGTGTCTGCCTCAGCGGCTTCTAAGGGTCGTCATCCCCCAGTTTTTCAGTGCTCCCACCCTCCTTGCCTGCCCAGCGAAGGGCCAGCCACAATCTCTGCCAAGGTTGTCTCCTCCATTCTCAACGGTGGCAGAATTTGGGTGAAAGAATTGTAAGTTGCGGGGGGTGGGGGGGGAAGCAATCGGGAGGCTGCTCAGAGTTACAACTCCGATCTGACTTGGCCCCTGTGTCCTTGTCCCCTTCTTGGCCTGTCCCAGGCCTCGTGCCCCATGGAAACCGGGAGCCCTGTGGCCCTCCTTGCCAGCGGGGGCCTCTTCACACCAGACTTCCCCCGACTCAGACGGTTGCTTGGCCAGGAAGCGGCTGGCCCAGATGCGCCTTTTCCATCCGCGTGCAGAAGCAAACTGGGGACCGGCCAGATTCCCCTCTTTGGATGCGTCTGGTGGGGAAGCCGGTTTTGAACCGAAGCCACTGTGCCCCCCCCCCGGCCCCCCTATCACCACCCAAGCCCCTCTCTGGCGTTTCACAGGCGGCCGGGTTTCTGCCTGGAGCCAATTAGGACCAGATTCTGCTCCGCTAATCATCCCCACATTTCAGGCCCTGGACGTTTTGCTGGGAAAAAGACAGCCCGCCTCCCCCGCTCCCCTCCCCTCCCCGTGCCCTGTGGCTTTGGGCTGCTCTTCCCACCGCTGTGCCTTGGGTGCCGCTTCCGACCCCTCCAGAGTGGGGCGGCCCTGCTGTGGCTGATGGGCTTCGGCCAGGCTCTGCTGGGGACAAGGGGTTCGCTGGGCTGAGGGTCCCTCCCCGGTTCCTGTTTCTAAAGGGATTTGGCTGGCAGCAAAGCTCAGGGAAAGCAGCCTGCTTGATTCCAGGAGCTTCGGGTCAAGGCCGGGCCAAACCCCTGCAGCCTGGCCTGGTTCTTTTAATGGAAGCCGAGCTAGAAGAATTGAAGCGGGGGGGGGGGGGGCCCCCCCCCCCTTCAGAAGGGGGGCGGGTCAGGGCCCAACAGAAGGGCCCTTCCAGCCTCTCAGCGCCAGGGGCCAAAAATGGTGGTGGTGCAAATGCCCCCCCACACACAGGCCATGCTGGCACCCCTCGGGGGATTCACCACTGCTTGCTTTCAGAGCTTGGAAGATAGAAGAGCCACGGGGGGGGGGGGGGGGGGGGCCCCCAGGGGGGGAAAGGCGGGGAAAGAAAGTGGGGGGGGTTTTTGAAGGGGGGCCAAGCCCCCCCCCCCCAAAGGTTCCGACTGAAAAATCACACAACTGGGCTGTGAAGTGGGCAAGTGTAATCGCATAATGCCTCTATTACCCTGTGTGTGTGTGTGTGTGTGTGTGTGTGTGTGTGCGTGTGTGCGCGCCAAGTTGCTCAATCATGCATGGCATGTTACTTGGGAGCGGAAGCGCTAAGCAAGCAGAGAGGAGATCTCTTCAGGCTCTTCCCTGCTTCCCCTGCCAAAGCGCGCGCACACACCCACACCCACACAGGAGGGGGAGAAACCCCACCGCCCGGACTAAGCAGGGGAGCAAGGCCAGGCAGGATTTGGGGCTGGAGTGGCCTCAGGAGGTCTGTGCTGGAAGACAAGGGGAGGGACCCCATTTTGGCTTCATACCGACACCTTTGCGGGGGCAGGATAAGCCCTGCAGGGCCCAGCGAGGGGCCCTCAGCAGCCCCAGCCGCTCCTTCCTAACTGGCCGAATATTGGCCAACCCAAAGAGGAGTGCTTGACACCGGCCCTGTCCAAGGCTGGCCCTCTGCCTCCCCCCCTCCCCCGCCGCTTTGCCTCTCTGCCTGCCTGCCTGCCTGCCTGCCCTGGGAGCCCTGGGGGGTTGGGACTGCAACGCCTCCAGGGCTGAGGTTTATGACCCAGGAGCCTTCCCTGCAAAGCCAGCCAGCCCAAGGTGTGCGGCTCAGTTGCCTCTGGCTTTCTGGAGTTGAACGGGGGGGGGGGGGCTTTCTGTGCCCCCTCCCTGGATGGTGGCCGGGCTGAGCCTCCCTAGAGGAAGCCTGAGGCGGCAGGGCCAGTTTCCCTCTGGCTTCCCTGGAACAATTGCACTGGGGGTGGGGGGAGGAATCCCCCCCACCCCGAGGCTGCTCCCTCCTTGGCCTGGTGCCTGCAGATGGTGGGCCTTGCCTGCAGCAGAAATGGGAAGTGGGGGGGGCTGAACCCCCATCTGTCTCTGGAGCTGCCTTTTCTCTCCGGATCCTGGAAGGGGTCCAGGCACCCACAAGTGGGAGGGGCTGTCTGGAAAGCAGATGTTCTCCCCCCCCCTTCCTCCATTCCCAAAGGAATCCCTGACCAGCGGCTGAAGGGCGGCTTCCCCCAGAGCTCTGCCTGAAAGGGTGGGGTGACTTTTCCACCCACCCCCAGGAGCATTTTTGCACCGGGTGCTGCCCCACAAGGCCCAGGCAGGAGGGACTGAGTTTCAGTGGGGACGGGGGGGAGGGGGCAGAGCAGGAGGGGATGAGCTCTTCTCCCCCTTTGGAAAATCCCTCCCGTAATCTGGAAACTTTCTGTGAACAAAAGCCAGCTTTCCAAGCTAGGAGTTTTGGACTGCCCTCCCTATGGAGTGGGGGGGGGGCTTTCCCCTACGCTTCACACACACACACCCCTTGGCAGGGCAACCCATTGCGCTCCCCAGTGGATGCTCTGGGTCTTCCTGTAACGGGGAACCTGCTAGATGACCTTCCTCTCCAGCATGGCTCCCTCGGCCCCAGAATCCCACCTCTGGCGCAGGGAGCATCACTCGCCCATCACTCGCCCATGAAGCCAGTCGCTTCCTTTTTGAAAGGGAGGGGGTTGCCAGAATGGAGGGGGGGCACTTTAATTCCCCTTGAAGGGCAGAGCTTGCTTGTGTCTGAGGTTCACCCCAGACGGGCTGTTTTCCCAGACAAGGGGGTGGGGGGACTGACTTGGACTCCCGGAATTCTTGCTGGCTTGAAGTGCTTTTAGATCTCTCTTCAGCCTGGCCAGTGAGAGACTTCACACACACACACACACACACACACACACACAAAATGCGGGGGAGGGGGCACCAGGCAACCAGTCTCTCCAGACTAGCTTGTCTCCCCCAAACATTGCAAAACCAGCGAAGGGCCCCTGCAAGGAGCCAATTAAAATTTCCAGGGAACCCAAAACCTGCCCAAGGGGTGAACAAGGCAGGACTCTCCATCGGCCTGGGGTCTCTCTGTCCCAAACCAGCCACCCCCGACTCTTGCTGAAGGCCAGATCCAGGAGGGCTCCGAGGCCCGACTCCCGCCTTTGCTGCCCCCAATGAAGTGGGGCGCAGTCCAAGCCTTCCGGGGCGTCCCTTCAGCACCCGGGGCTGGAAAGCGGCTTTTCGGGGAGGCGGCGGGGCAAGCAGGTGAGCGGGGCCCCCTCCTCCTCCTCCTCCTCCTCAGGAGGGGAGCGGAGGGGAGGGGAGGGGAGGGGAGGGGCGGGGCGGGCGGCTCTTAAGGCGAGGCGCGCCGGCGGAGCCACCAGCGGCAGCGGCGGCGAAGAAGCTTTGCTCGCGCTCCTCTCCCGCCGGACCAGGGACCAGCCCGCCGCCCCCCCGCCGCCCCCGTCATGGCCAACTTCACCGGCAGCTGGAAGATGCGCAGCTCGGAGAACTTCGAGGAGCTGCTGAAGGCGCTGGGTGAGCGGCAGGGCCACCGGGGAGAGCGCGAGGCTGCGCTGCGGGGCCTGGCGGGTCGCTTCCCGCAAGGTCCGGGGCCACGCAGAGAAGGAAGGGACGGGGAAGCCCCCCAGCGCGAGCGAACCAGAAAAAGGCGGTGACCCGTCGGGGGAGAGGCGGCTCCTCCGTGCGGGCTCCGGGAGGGAGACCCTCCGAAAAGGCTCCGATCACTCCCGGAGATGATGACCCGCGCTCTGGGGGCGTCTCCTGCTCAGGACCGCTTCTCCGGCATCTGTCGCTCCCGGGGCCCTGAGACGGGAACCCGAGAAGCGGGGGGGGGGGCCTTGGCGTGGGAGGGGGGCAGAGTCGAGCCCTCGCTCCCGTCTCAGTCTCTCCCCTTCAGCAGCGCCGTTTCCTCCCTGGGAGAGATGGGGGGAGGGGAACGACTCCAGGTGAGCCTTCAAGGCCGCGCCTGCCTCTCCCCCTTTTATTCCGAGGATTAGGGGCGCAGAAAGCACGCGGGGCGCAACGGCGCCCTCTTCTCAGCAGAAGTTCTGGGGGATTTGCCCCTCTGGGGAGGCCGAAGCGGGAGGGAAGGCTCGGCCCCCCCGGGCAACGACTCAGCCACCAGGGAAGCCGCCTCTGCCTTCCCTGACCCCAACATCCGTCGGTGGCCCTTGCGGAGAGCAGCCAGGAGGGAAAATCCACGCCCCCCCAAAACCCTTCTCAGCCTCCCCTACCCCCCTCCCACCTTCAACCAGGAAAATACCTGCACCTTTTCCCAGAGCCCCCCCACCCATTAACCTAAAGCTAGCAACGCCAGGGGAGGGGCTGCTTTCAAGCCCGGCTCCTTTCTGGAGGAGGTCTGTGGCTCTTGGCTCCTCTAGCCAGACCTGCCCTCTCTCCCGGGGAGGTGGGGGGTGGGGGGTGGGCTTTGCAAATTCCTTCCAGCTTGGGGAAAGGATAAATATCAAATCCTCGGGTTTCCTCTTCCCCGTAATTCTGCCTCCCAGATGGGGATAATTTGATGCCAGGAGGCTGGAGGAGAGACTGGAATTCAGATGTGCATTTGTGAATCGGTGCGGAAGAGAGGGAGGGCACACGGGGCTCACACTGGCACAAACCTGCGCCACTTAGGAGCCAGGACTGGGACCCAGTTCTTGGGGGAGGGGGTGGCCTGATCCTCCCCCAGGAGATTCCTGGAGGAAGGGTATAAAGGCATCAAGAGCCATCTTGCTCCTGTGGAGGCGGAAGCACCTAGGCAAGTCTGGGCGGGAGCCGCTTGGGGGAAGAGCGAAGCGAACCCTCCAGCCCTACAGGCAGTCTATCTCCGTGGCCAATCTAGCACCCAGGCCTCTGGGGCCCTAATCCTGCTCCACCAGTGATGCCACTGAGATGTCCCTGAATGTTGTGAGGGCCCCACCAGCCCTGCCATGCTGTCCTATCCTCCTTTCTTGCAAAAAAGAACAAACCCCACATATCTGGCAGAAGTCTCCCATCGCGTCCCCTTTGGCCCTGGCAAGGCGGCCATTTTGGCTCAGTCTTGGGGTGGCACCTGGTCCTCCCCAAGAGAAACGTGGCAGCTGGCTGCTTCCGGCCAGCCAAGGGCCACGCGACGTGTTTTTCCACACGGGCTGAAACAGGGCTGGCCCCATCTCTGCTTGGAAAGGGTGAGGCTCCTTCGCTCCCCTGCTGCTCTCCACTTTCTGCTTTGGGGGTGGGGGGGCGGGGTGGGGGCTCTCATTCCAGTTATGGGGTGGGACAAGCACAACTGGAAAAAAGCAGATGGGGTGGGAAACGGCCTGTCCAGGACAGGCAGGGAAGCTTCAGGCAGGGTGCTGATTGGATCCAGACCCCGCGGAAAGTCTGACCTAATAGCAAACCAAATAAAAGAGTGGGAGCCAATCCAGAGGAGGAAGATCTGCGTAGCTTAGATGGCTGGGGAATTCTGGGAGTTGAAGTCCACAGGTCTACAGTTGCCTCTTTGGGATCCCCCCGCCCCCCCCCCGGTTTACCCCTTCCTGGGATTCAGCCAGGCTGCCTGGAAGTTAGTAGCTCCGTCCTTTTGCCTCTCCTGCCTGTTGCACAATTGTCAGCTTGTACAACAACCCCATTGGCGCAGCTTCCCTCGGGGAGGCTGTCGCGACTGACGGTTGTGCAAGTTCTTGATGACTGTTTTTTTGGAGACATGACAAAGAGCCTCCCCCCTCCCATTCTCCTTAAAGCCTGTCATTGCCTCATGTTCCGCCCCTTCAACCTGGCTGGAGTCCCACCTCTGCAAGTGTGTGTGTGTGTATGTGTGTGTTTTAACAAAGATAACAAAAAGTCAAATGCCAATGAAATAAGAAGCGTCGGAAAGATGACCAGGTTCATTGTAGCATCAGCAAATGTTGTCGTGCAAAGACAAGCAGGAATGCCCATAGATGGGGGGGGGGAATTACAAAATGGGGGGGGGGCATAGTTGGAGAGCTGGGCGCGTCCCTTGCAAATGGAGCCCACCTGTGAGCACAGCCTGTTCGGGAGGAGTGAAGGAGCCCCATTTGGACAGGTGTGACTGACTGGCAAGCTTTTGAGAAAAGGGTGAATCAGCCACGGAGGGAAAAGCCGCCAGCAGGCAGGGGGTTCCTAACGGTTCTCCGTGGGGAGGAGTCCCCCGTCCCCCTGCCTGGCCAGCTGGACCCCCTGGTGGGCAGGATCCATGGCGGGAGAGCAGCTCCGGGCTTCCCTGGGGATCCTCGATCGATCGATCGCCAGGGTCCCTCGGGGACTGGCTCACCTCGGCTGCCGCCGCCGCCCTCTTCTTCCAGGGGTCAACGTGATGCTCCGGAAGATCGCCGTGGCCGCGGCCTCCAAGCCAGCGGTGGAGATCAAGCAGCAGGGGCCCTCCTTCTACATCAAGACCTCCACCACTGTGCGCACCACGGAGATCCGCTTTGAGGTTGGGGAGGAGTTTGAGGAGCAGACGGTGGATGGGAGGCCGTGCAAGGTGAGGGGCAGGCGGGAGGGAGGCCCTGGCTGGGGGAGGCGCCCCCCCCCCCGGACAAAGCAGCCCCCTCTGCTGTGAAGGCGAAGGGCCTCCGGCTGCACAGAGGCTCTGGTGGGGAGCGGAGGCTGCCTGGCTCTCTCCCTAGCTGGACCGGCTGCAGCAAAGGTGGGGAGCTGCTGGCCCTGCCAACGGGGGAGGCCAAGCTGAGCGGGAGAAGGTGGCCCACTGGCCCTCCCCACTTCTTCCCAACCCTTTCGGCATCGGGCATCAGAGGCCGCCTTGGGCCCCGGGCAGACCGTGACATCGGGGTGTGTGCCGGTGTGTGTGTGTGTGTGTGTGTGTGTGTGTGTGTGTGTGTGTGTGTGTGTGTGTGTGTG